TGAATGGATGCCAGAATACTCAACTGCACTGAATAACCCAGTGACAGGATGACCAGGCATCATGTAAGCAAAGCCACAACTAATACTGCCAACACAACTGGGCTCGAGGTGCCCGCCCCTACAATACTCATTTCGACATTGCCAAGATACACGGCTGCGCTTTGAGCACCATCATGGATGACAGCCGGCTCTAAGGAAAAACAGTGAATGGTTTGGCATTGGGAAGATCTGTGTAGGAAGAGGACTTGATTTTGTTGGCCACAGGTTAATAGAACAGGTGAGTCATTAACGCTAATTTTAGGAGTCTGGGAGTCTGCATGTTGACGTTGATGGTAATTTCACTGTACTTCCTTACTCTGACTGCAGTTCGAGACCTGAGATGCACTGTATTTCCTTCCTGACATCCCTCATCTTTTACAGTACCGGTAGATTTAGGAACATAAAGCATCGTTTTTGTAAGGGTCTTAACTCCTTCTTTTAAATACCAGCATGACTTTGTGTCCACTTTGTCATGAAGAGAAAGCTAATGTGACTCAATCATTATAGAACCAACAGGGGTGTGTCATATAAATTAGACTGTGGAAAACTGCCTGGCTTTTCTTCAAAGTGACAGATTTGTAAGGCACACAGACACTGAATTTCACAGTACCATTAGGTCACAACTTCTTATCAGTTTGTGCTGCTTTACTTCTTCTTACGCAATCTCTTACGCATTTGTCCTTTAAATCCCTAGCTCATACTTATGATGGGCCTCATTAAGGCAGTTCCTGTGTAAGAGTAACACACAGCTGTACAGGGTACACTTCTTTGATTTCATTAGCAGCAAAAAGACATGAAGAACACATGTAAGTAACTGTGGAAAAAGTCACAAAATCTATAATGGTCAGCAACTTACACAAGACCTACGTTAAGGTCAAGTATACTTTAATTCAGGTAAGTTTTAAGACGTGCACCTTGCCTGACCGCAGACATGACTATATTAATTATAAAATACAATACAACAGCTACCAGACAGCTACACCAATATCACGATTTGATGGTCTACACAACCTGCTGAAACAATAATGTGAAAAGAAAACTCAGCAGTTCAACACTATTCCCAGTGAAAGAACGCAGATCAGATCATCCTGTGGGGCACAGGTTACTTGCTGTTGACCCACAGAGCGCAATGGAGCTGCTTCACAACTAGGGATGGTGCCAGTACTCTGAAGGAGTGTGGTCTGACACACACACAGACACACCTTCCTGTGTGGAGCCTTCACTCCCTTCTCACACTTCCCTTGAAATGCAGAGTTAGACATGTCAGTTACCAGAACTGTCCGCCTGCTGTCCTCCTGCTGCCTGTTCAGAGTGAAACAAAGGGGCCTACATTCCTCAACAGTGTGGGAAACATTCACTCCAGCTGTGTCAGTGCTTCCCGAACAGCTGTCATCTCATTCTCTCCACACGTGATGACAATCGACTGCTGAAATGTATCCCACTGCAGTCCTTCCCAAAACGAGTGTCAACGCCCAATACCACTGTGAGGAGGATCTCTGTACTTCCGAGTCGAACGTGACATTTAGTTGTACATTTGAACAGTTCAAGTGCTCTCCATACCTAGGACTAAATCTCGGACTTTAGGTAATCATGCCATCATGCCAGGTGGATGCTGCACATTGGTGGTGGTGGAGGGGAGTCCCCATTACCCGTAAAGCTCTATATAAGTGTAAGCAATTAATATTATTTTTATTATTATTATTGCTGTGACTGCTCTGTTGTAATAGAATGCCCTTCCTCAGACCCTACACGAGACAAATTTATGGACTCTCTTCAACTCTAAACTCAAAACTCACCTTTTTACCAGGGCCTATGTCTGATTGTATTAGGTTCTATCTGTATAAAACTGTATGCTCTTGTTGTATGCTATTTTTTCTTTTTTATTATACTAATCATTATGCACAGCGTACTTGGTTAAGGAAAGGTGTTTTATAAATAAAAGATACTCTATTATTACATTTGGTAGAACTGAGGTACACCGACAATCAGAAATAATGTGTCTATCTAAGTAACCCAGGTATGCAAACTCAGAGAAGCTGTGTAAATAACCACAGGCTGCTACTGGTCCTATGGCAGGGTTTAACATTTAGATTGCTCCAGTAAATCCCGTGTTGTTTAAATAGGAATACTCCAGGTTGTCATTATAAATGAGAATATGCCCTTGATGGACTTATCCAGCTCAATAAAGGTTAACCTGAGGCTTAAGACAAGATGCAAAAAGATCCAAATACAATATAAGAACGATTGCACACGATTATTTAAGCATGTGGCATCCTCTGAGCATGTGTGACTACCCAGTGGTTTGATGGGCTGGACACTGATGTTAGACGTCATGGCGTTTTCAGGACCAAATCCAAACCCAATGAGCCTTTACTGTATGGGATACTCTGGAACAAAGCCTGAGGCAGTAGATTCCTCCTCCACCAACCAGCCTTGATCTGACTGACATCTTTGCAGGAGACGTGCTGCGTCCCTCCTATAGAACTCCACTGGCTGCACACAGCGACCCAACGCCCCGTTCAGTAACTGAACATTGGTGTTTCCATGATTTGTCCACTACCTGTAACATCACTTAAACAACAAAAAATAGTTGGACACCCTTAACAGGAAACATAATACTTCATAGTGTTCGCTGAGGTAAGGGTTTTCAGGACTTCCCCACTCTCAACTCCCAGTGACTACAGGTCTCCTTAAAAATCCTTCAGATTCTTCCAAGAGGCCTTTGCGCCACTGTAGTTCCTACAGATGAACTTTTCCTAACATCCTAGCCTGACAGTGACTTTTCAAAAGGCTCGGGTTTCAGCAAGTGCCTAGGCCAAGACCGAAGCAACAACGCCCTTTATCTCCTTAAGCACTCCTTCACCTGTGAGGCTCGACCACAAGAAGCTCTGTCATTCTGCAAGCAGAAATCCACACCACAAAAAAGGGCTGTGAGCTCAGGGGTCTGAGAGTTTTCAGATACTAATCTTTATTCTTTCTTTGCCCATTCGGTAAAGGAGTCCTCCCTCCACTGGAAAAAATCACAGGACTTCAAGGATACTTAATCATGCCCTTTGCTTTCCATTTTTCTCCTTGCTGGTTTTTAACTCTAAAAAGAACTTTGATTCCAGAAGCAGAGGATAAAAGACTTATCAGGGTACATCAGTCTGACTCAAGACACCTCTACCAATTATGACTTCTGTCAGCTTTTGAAAACTTCCAATTATGCAGCACACATTTCATTACTGAAATTTTTCCAAAAGGCATACTGCATTTCAAAATGTCGAAATCCTAACGCTTCTTAATCTTTTGAAGTTGGCAAACTATCTGACAAGCTACTTGGCAGAATACCACACCTTGTGACATTGAACCCACGTGACATTGAATAATATAAGACAATCTACATAATTATTATCTTGCGGAGTTGCAAAGGTTTAGCCACAGCTGTAGTAGCAAGAATACGGGAAAGTTATTACACAAAACGAAAAAAGTTGGAACTTAAAAAAAAAAAAGCTGCAGTTAGTTTCATTTGTCAAACAGAAGTCAGCCACTTGGATACCATTGGCTGGCTATCCCGTTTGTTGGCGGAGATCTGCACAAGGAAAATGCATTCCCCTAACATCGACACTTTTAATTCATATTTTAGTATGAAATTACGATAATCGGTGTCCTTCCAAAAACCTCTGTGACGCAGCAGCCTTTCCAAATACTCTACCGGTCGGCACGACACAAGGGGAACACAGCTCTAGCTTGGCTTGAACGGGACTGCAGATGCAATGTAATGCAAAACAACGTTTACTGCGAAGCACACAGCCGGATAATGTTCTGCAACGAGAGAGAAATCCCTCTTCTCCGTCGGATGCGACAATCCCGCAAGTTTCCTCCCCAGCGTGCGTCCACACTCCGCTCACGAGACGCCTGTTTACTTTACACGTCCCTCCCCCCTCCTCCCGCTTCCGGTGGCGCTGCGCTGACGTCACCGAGCAATAGAAAAGACGCCATTGCTCGCAGACAGCCTTCATTTGACCTTTTTTAAAAAAACATTTCGGAAAAGATCCTTTCCTTTCGAGACAGCGAGGGGAAGACGCGCCCAGTGGCTTTCCCCGCTCCTGCGTGTACCGAATAACTGCACTTAGGACCCTAAGTAAGGAAGCAAACGCATTAAATATTGCAAAACCCACCTCTTCCGATCCGCCCTCCGCTCTCCCCGTATCTCGCCCGAAATGGAAAAGAAACCAAGTACAAAATGGCGCAGGGGATCCTCTGCAAGACATGCGCAGGAAGCATTTGGAGTTTTTTTTTATTTTTTATTGACTTTAAACTTGCAGAGAACATATTGCAGCTCTGTGCACACCCCCCGAAGTGAAGAAATGAGTGAGGATAAATGGAATTGCACACAAAAGGCGGAGAGGCAAGATAAGGCTAATTTCTAAGAGTAATGCTGCCTCAACGTGATACGCACTGCAAGACCATCCAGCAGGAAACATACGAACCAGGAGTGACATTTGTGCTTGTTGCTTTTTTTAATTCGTTGTGCTGTTTCACAATTGCCAGGAGAGGTTTTATTGAACTCTCCTCAAAAACACATCAAAACGAGCCACAGTACAGTATTTTAGTTATTTCCCCTTAGTGCACCACCGCGCCTGCGCAGACGGCGGAAGGTCTAATCCAGTTCCGTTTCAGTGTGACAAAGCCGCCAATGGCTAATTAAGAGGGGCGTTCCCTGCGTCTCTTCAGCCAATCGGTGCCACGGGGAGGCAAACTCCGGATGAAACGTAGCCAATCGCCTCCGCAAACGGCTCTACCATTAACGAACAGGAATCCAATCACGACGCGAGAAAGCACCAACCAATGGGGAGCCGTATGTACGAGCGCCGCTTTCGGATCAACCAATCAGCTCGGGAAAAGCGCGATGTCCTATAGGATTTTGAGTATCGAGGAGCCAATCACATTGCTTTAAGGCTACCACTACTGAATTTGTAGCCAATCGGGTTTCGAGAAGCACTGCCTGGGCTCAACAGCTTGTTATTTCGTTTATTGCTTTGGCAATCCTGCTGAGTGGTGAACAGTCAGATCAGAGTATGTAAGTATGGGTCTTAATATCTCACCCAAAGGTTATATAGAAGCAGATTTTTGTAGCGAAATTGCATGTGTATAGTGTCAACTTTGTGTTTTTTGTTTTATGGGGCGTTGATAAGTAGAATTTGTATTAGTTTTTTAGCGAAAAGGAAAAGGTGGGTTAAGAAATTGAATGGCAGGACCAGTCGGCTTGTTTTTGCGGTGAATTGCGCCTTTTGTGGATTGATTTAAATAAATAAATCCTCCGGTTTGTGTCGTACTCCGATTTGCAGGCGGCCTGGTGCTGTTTGAAATCGCCTTTGCCCCTTTACTTGTTAGGAGGGGACCACACGGAAAAGCCTGACTTGAGGCTTTCCCCTTTCGCAGAACTAGGCGGTTTAAATCGCCATTTGAGAAACTGTCTCTCGTCTGTGAACATGTATATCTCCCCTTTTTTTTGGGGGCTGAAAAAAATCACGCTTAGACGTTGCGTTTCCCACCCCCACGTCGAAGGCAAGCCTTTTCTCCGTCTGCAGAAGGGAAAAGCGGTAGTGGCTGCCGGAGTTAACTTTTGAGTGGGGAGGAAAAATTAAAAAAAAAAAACCCCATCGTGTGGCACACCTCCATAATTGCTCGGAGCACAGAGCCGCCGGAGCTGGTGTGTTGTTGCCTGTGCGCTGACAAGAGTGCAGCACCGAGAGCAATGGCGACGTGACACAGTCGGAATGGAGCAAAGCGGGAACACGCACACACTTGTGATTGTGTGTCTGTGTGTGTGTGCGTGTGTGCGTGCATTGGTACTGGGGCAGCCCACGGCCGGCCCCGTGTCCCGATCCCCACGAACCGAGCTCGGGTTCGCGGTCCCGGTGAAGCCCGGGGGGGTGGTGGTGGTGTGTGACTGGGGGGGGGTGGTTGGGGGGTTGTGTCTGTTCCCCTTAACACGCCGGGCGGTTCGCAGGGAAGCCGCAGAAGGGAATGCCTTGGTTTCGTCAAATATTGGGTTCTGATAAGTTTTTTTTTTGGGGGGGGGTTAATTTAAGAGCAAGAGTTCAATGCAATGAATGAAAAGTAACTCTGACCCTGTCTCTTTCCCCCCACCCCCTCCCCGGACGTCCTCCGGTGTTTACGTTTCGTGCAGCCTGACGGTCGGCCTCACCGACTTGTTTCACAGTTTTCTTTCAGAGCGATCGGAGACCCTCGAGCTGGACTCCCTCAAATAGCCCTTTACGATGAAGGTAAGGTCGCCTTCTTTTCACGGCGAACCCGTAGCCGACGCCTTTATCTCAAGGCTGTACCTTTTGTCGTGGCACAGAAGAGTGACAAATTAAATGTTGCAAATGCTTCCCGTTTCAGTCGGGGTTTTTTTGTGTGTGTGTGTGTGGTAATATACGTTGCTTGGGAGCAATCTGTGTAAAACCAGATGGCTTATTTCGAAGTGTACTTTTTAAGATTGATGATTCATCTTGAGGCAAGTGGGCTTAATTTTTTAAAAGGGGAAAAAAAAACATTTTTTTTGTTTGCCAGTGACATTGGGACTTTTTCACGTGTAAAGTTCACATTTGAGCACGTTTTTCTTGTTGGAGGGCTCTGGACCAGGGTTTTGGGTTTTCAAGGAAACAATGTTCAGTATTAGACAGTATACACTGGCTTTAAACCTCCCCCTTTTCCAGCCCGTGCGTGTTAGTTGATCTAGCAAAGGAGAAGTTGGAAAATGTCAAATTTGAGCACTTCTTGATGATTGTGCTTAAGACACTGGCATCTTAAGTTTTCTAAGTTCAGGCCTTTTGATGACCCTATTGGAAGTGATATAAAAGTATGGAACATAATCTGGACCGTAGTAAAAGGTATTTCATTGTTAAGTTTTATATGACTGGCAAAGTTCATGGATGCTGTGCTTTAATAGTAATAAGGCAATGTTCACGCACTGACCTAGTAAGCTTGTTTCTGCATCTTTTAGTGCCTAACACCCCAACTGCAAGTTTCCACCCTTGGTTAAATCCTTTCATTAAACCGCTGTGCCTTAACAGAAGCTACAATAGAGAAGCATGTTACAAAGTATTTGCAGAGATGACAAGATAATTTATGATATTGAAATCTGCTGTGAATCCGAAAGTTAAGAAGGGACATCTTGTTTCATGAAATAACCGAGGGGAACAATTTAATGAAAAAGAAATATCCGTGTTCCTTTCTTTGCAGGCAGCGGATGAGCCTGCCTATCTAACAGTGGGGACTGATGTTAGCGCCAAGTACCGCGGTGCCTTCTGTGAGGCAAAAATTAAAACCGTCAAGAGACTTGTAAAGGTTAAGGTAAGAGACTTCAACCAACTGCTCTGCCTGAGAGACCACTTGATTCTTAGTGTTTCATAACTGCTGCAAGTTAAACAGCAGAGGATCACCCATCCTTTAACAATGATGTGTCCATTAATTGCACACCCAGCTTATGTTTGTTTGGGAGTTTACCTTTTAATTCAGATGTTTTCTGAAGGTTAAAAAAGTGTTGTTTCAGGCATCCTCTTTTCTTAAGCTAATGGGTTGTAGTATTTAAAGGATTAAAGCTGAACGTGTAGTTTGCGTATTGTAACATTTACAAAATACACTCAGTTTCAAGACTGGATCTCATTGTCTAGAACAGTTCAACAAAATAATATTTGAATATTAATATAACTGCCCCAATATTTTTTTTTTAGGTTGTAGATGACACTCCGTTCATGGCTCTATATGTGTTGTCACAAAATAAACACTGCACTTGACACTCTTTGAGGTCAAATGGCTGTCCCAAAAAAATCTGATTGTTAATATGTATGTCAGGGTATTTTTCTCACGTTCTGTGTTGATTTGGCAAACTGTTAGGCCCCAAGTTGCAGTTTTAATTCTTTTAAGTATTCACGGGTATCTCTTAAGGACTACAGAGAGCTGTGTCATGACTGAGGGGTGCTTGTTTGCTTGGAAGGCTTCCTGTATTTCTGGTGTGGTTTGCATCATCAGTGAGCCAATACCCTAGAGCAGACTGTCTACCATGGTATTCCCTGAAGCAGTGCTGACGAGCAGAAGTGATGCTTTCTGAGTCAGCAGACGTCACACAGTGTCGAAACCTGAGACCGACGTAGTTTAATATTTATCCATTCTTTGCAATTGAACCCAAGAGCGGGTGTAAGTCTGCGAAATGCAGCAAGACCTGGAAACCAGCTAGTATTGTATCCCGTACTATTGATATGGGGTCACTTTTGGGCCTTGAAAGAAAAGTCTCAGAAAAGATCTTAGCTTCATAAAAGACTTTTGTGCTTCTTTGCGCAAGCAGCTCAGCTATGTTATTGAAGTCGATAACCTGGTTTCTTTCAAGAACGGCCGGGTGAAATGATTGGGTCACTAAGATACTAAAAAACAACATGAAGTGGTTGGGCTGAGAGGCCTCCTCTTTTGTAACCGTTCATATGTTTTAAATAGAATATATCATTGTCAGTGATAAAGCTTTTTATCACCGTAATCTGCTAGAGAATGTTTTCTGTCATGTGTTGCGTTTTACGTAATATGCGTTTGCCTCCAAATCCCATCCTATACAGAATCAGCACATTAGATAAAAAAATGTGCCAGCACAAAGGAACCTGAATGCTGCTTGTTAGCAATGTAAGCTGTAAAATTCAACTTAGGCTCTTAAAGGTGAACTAACTGCCAAAGAGAAGTCAGATGCTGAAAGGGTGTTAGGTTTTTAGGCTCCACTGCTCAGTTGCTTTTGCCATTCCAAAGAATCTTCCCTGTGTTATGTGATGATCAAGACTATATCTGTCCACAGAGCAGGTGATAATTGCTTCAGTATTTTATTTGCTAAAAAAAGTCCTGTGAAACATTGTGGTTAAAGCTGTGCTGTGCTGTAGCTGTGTTCTGAAGAAAGCACAAAAAAGCAAATGGAAATGCATGTGAGTTTTGTGAAATACTTTTGTTTCAAGGTATTTACTGAGGTTGGTAATTTTCTGTCTGTCTGTGCCCCGAGATGCACTGGGTGTATCCCGCTTGGTGCCTATTGTGTGCCAGGAGAGGGTCCGACTCCTCCACCTCCCTGTATTGGATTGAACAGTTAGGGGATGGATGATGATTTTCTATTTGGACTGTATGTCAACTCGCAAAAGAGTGTAATCCTTTGGTCTATATCTAAATCATAGACTGGCATTCCAGTACTGTTGTCGAGAAAACTAAAACTCTTTTAAATATGCGCTTAGCTTCCACTTTTTACTTCCAGAGACGTAGCATTTTGCAATGAATAATAATGCCTTCCATTTATTTATATATTTCCCGAAGGATCCCAAAGGACTCCCTTCATCCGCTGAAGTGCAGCACTCACCTGGGTGAAGTGAGCAGCCATTCTGCACCTGCAGCCCCACTGCACCGCAGATCAGGTGGAGAAGTGGGACATTGCTTCAAAAACTGACTTAAAAGGCATCTTTAGGGAGGCCAGGTTGTGCAAGCCCAGAGTGGAGTTTAGGCAAGACACTGGGGTTTAAGGCCCTGCTCTCTGAACAGTGCCAGTTTAATGACCAAGTTGGCTGGCACTTTCTAGGATACAATGCTCCTTGTTCATCATACATAATTTCCTTTAAGGTCTCCCATCCAAAGCATGAGCAGACATAGCCTTGCAAAGCTTCTGAGATCAGGCTAGATGATGGTCATGTGTCTGTCAAAAAATAGATCAATATGGTACATGACCCTCATGAGATTGAATCCACAACAGCCCAGTGACAAATCCAGAGTCCTGACCACTCTTCTGCAGCCTGTTGGAGGTGGCTTGGATTGATAAGCTTGTTACTTCTAGTATTTTGAAGTTACTAATGAGCCTTTTTTTTACATAGATACAGCTGGCAAACAGCTAGTTTTTTTTAAATAAGTAAGATGTCAAGATATCAGAGGACCACTAAAAATCTTTGCTGAAATTGCAGTCATTTTTGCCCTGCTTACTCAAAAATATAAGATTTGTCCAAGTACAATTCTTTGCCTCCTGTATGTTGGTATAATCACACTAGTGTTGGTTATTTAACTGGTGGTGGGTAGTATGAATGGCTTTAAAGAGAGACTGGTTGATCCTTGAACTAAACATAAAGTATAAAGTATTACAACAGATCAAATCCATGTGTGAAACAGCAAGCATACTGAACAATTTGGCATCTATGAGTGCTATGCAAAGCAGCGAAGTATTTTTGATCTTGAGAAATATTACAAGCCAAGTTTTTTTCAGGTTAAGCATATCAGATTCATAGCTGCTGAGCAGTTTAGTGTCCCTGGACAGGTTTATTTTGAAAGTCCGTAAGAGTAGGTGACCATTTTCTAATGTTTTTTTTTCTTCCACTTTTATTTCCTTTTTTTAAAAAATTATTTTGAACTACAATGCTACAAATACCTGCAGTATTATCGCAAATCAGATGCATATTTATATTAGCAAAATACAGTGCATAAGTTCTGGAGTGGTTCCTTTTTTATGAGTTCTGAAGAACATTGCATGGGCTCAGCTTATCATTTTTATATGATCAAATGGGGAGGCGTGTCAGCTTGTGAGCTGCAGAGGACCACGTAGAGGTGAATTCTATGCTGAAAAGCAGAAGAAACACAGTCTCACAAAAAAAAAACACACAAGACGCTCTCCACACGTATATTTTTAAAAGTAAAAAAAAAGTGTGTGTGTGAAAAGATCTGTTTATTGACAAGTGAAGGAAAGATTTAGGACTAGTTTTAATGATCACTATTTGCAAACTGTTCTTAAAGAAAATTACTCTGCTTTGAGAAGTACCGTTATAGTTTACAGTAGAAAATACTCTCTATTTAGGATAAAGTGGTGCTTTATCTTTTGATATTTCTGGACAAATTTCAGGTGAGAATTGCAGTAAAATTATATGAAATTCCAATAAAAGCCACTCGTACTGTTTGTGTTTGTGACACTGCTCAAGTAAGAACATGCCCTGGAAGCAGCCCAGTTCACCAGGGCAAGATGTTTCTTGAAAGACAGACACCACACAAGCGCAGACCAAGGGTTGTTGTTGAATTGCCTAGCTGGTTGGCTTTCTGGCTGTTCTGGAGTGGCTGTATTTTACATGAGATCGTTCAGCCATTTCAACAGCTTTGGTCCCCTGATGTAAAAAGAAATCCAGGAGTGCAGAATAGGAACATGTTTGTTTTAACAAGAAAAGATTGTAGACTTGACCTGGGAAGTTCATAACGAGCTCAGAATAGCCCACAATTACATTTTTGATAAGTAATTGCACAGGTTTGATTTCTGTGTTGTGCAAAGCCTGCTGAGGTTTTGTTTTACGTTTCACAGTTATTGGAGAGTGTGAGGCTTTTGAGGTCTATAGATGTGTCACTGTTTGAAGTTAGATCAACTATAGATGCAAAGAAATAATATACTAGCAAGTGTTATGTTTATTGTTTTGTTATTGATAACAATGGGTATTTAAATCATTGAGAGTGGTGCTAAGTCTTTGGTGGGTTCCTGTTTTTTCCCCAAACAGCAATTCATTGTTGAGATGGATAAAGGGCAGGCTAGCCGTTAAATGTATGAACCCTTGTCTTTGTTGGAGTGTAGCAATGTTGTTGTTGTCGATGGTGAGTGGTTTTAAAAATGTTTCTTAGAAAATCTAAAAAATCTTATTAAGTGGCTATATTGAAACTGTCATGCAGTTTTCACTAAAACAGAAAAAGGGTTCCTTGATTAGTTCTGAAGATTATTTTCCAGCTTCTGCAGTTTGGCTTTTGAGTAGATTGTGAGCCACTAGCATGACTGAAAACCCTGGTTTTAAGTGTGTTGGGGGCAAGCCCAGCACTTGGGCTCAGGTCACAGCAAAACTTCACTGTGAGCCAGCAGTTCTGAAGACGAGGGAAAAATGTCCTCTCTGCCGAGACTCGAGCTTGCTCAGAACTAGCACATGCTTTTGGCAAAAAGTTTATCCTTTCAGCACGCTGCAGAAGGTGGTTAGGGTTGGGTATTTTTATTTCTTATCTCCCCCTTTTGAATAATATCAATCTGACTTTGTTTATATAAAAAAATCTTGAGAGCAATCCAGAATAAATACAGCTCATTACTTTTATCCACAGCTGTCAGGTTTCTGAAACGTTAATGACCACGTTAGCTTTTTTGTTAAAGATGAAAACCGTCAGAATTATTCTTACCGCAAACATTTGAATGTTTGGAAGGTGGCTGGGGGTCGGGGAGGCAGACACATAGGAGAGGCAATGGGAAGAAATTCCAGGTTTTCAATTTTCCAACATGTCCAAGGCCAGAAATTAGGACTGCTTTCATTCTGCAGGCCAGTGTGCTTTTGCAGTATAGGATGTCATACGTGTCAAAGTAGAAGTGAATTCACTCAAAATCCCACTTGGCTGCTGATCAGTGACTCCAAAGTGTGTCTGTTAAACAGCCTCATGATTCCAAGTCTGATAAACCCTGCATGTTGACTCTTTCTTAGGTGCTCCTCAAGGGTGATAATACTTCACAAGTTGTTCAGGATGATCAGGTCAAGGGGCCTCTGAGGGTGAGTGTTGTTTGTTTCCTTTCAGTTCGCATCTTACAGACCCATCGGCCTTGGTTAACTTAAAGGGGAAGGTTTAAAAATTAAAAAGTGATTTTCTATCATTGATTTGACATCCTTTGTTCAGGCATTTAGTGAACTTCAGGAAATCTATTGTTCTTCAATAGAATTGCCCTGCAATTATTAACTACTTTGTGAAACAGGAAGTGGTTTGTGTTTTAACTATTTTTTTCTGAATAGAAAGAGTTCAGTCCATTTCCTCTTTATATTGTATTACGAAAAACAATGCGGAAATGTTTAGTTTTGTCAGACTGTCAATGGTTTCATTTGGTGTTTAAATGAACTTTTGATTACAGGAGTCTTTGGTGAAAGATAAGTTCAGTTGCACATAATAACAGCCAGGATTAAAGTTCGGGCCCACTCACAAACCCTGACTTAGTGTGCTTGTTCTGAGCCAGCTTGCGTACCAGCAGAAAACACTTCTCCCTTTTCCTCACTGCTGCACGCTCACTTCTCTGTTGCTGTGTGACTTGAAGGTGGGATCCACAGTGGAGGTGAAGAGTCCTGATGGGCTGTTTCATGAAGGCGTCATCAGCAAACTCACAGATGCCAGCTGGTATACAGTAGGTAAGTTGCTTGCTGTCCTTTTGGTCTTCTTACTCTTGGCACAATGAATCTGGTTTTCTAAATTTCTTTCAAGCAAGAATGTCCTGAGTGATTAAAGATCTTGGCTCAAGACTGCCCTGTTTCAGCTTAAGCAGACATTGCCTTGTCTCCGATCACCAGAATTTTAGGTTAACTTGTAGCCATACTTTGTGACGTAAATATGCGCAAGTAGCAGAAGAGACCTTTGTTCCAAGCCTTGTGCTTGCTTGCATAATGTACTTGCTCAGAGATTAAACTGCACATCACCCCAGGCTTAAATGAAAATGTGTGCTTGTTCTAAAATGTTTTAAATTCAGTTTCTTTGTTGCTTCTGTTTGAGCCTTTTTACAGCTGGATATTTTTGTAAACCTGAGATTAGTTATGTTGGATAATAGCGTTGACAGATTCATGGCCTAGGGAGGTTGAAATGTTTGTGTCCGATGAGTGCGAGAAACTTATTTAATTTAATTTAAGCTTATATAACTCTTCAAACAATTGGCGAGGGTTATATTTAAAATTGTTGTATTTGTTTGGGCTGCAGTGTTTGACGATGGTGACGAGAGGACACTGAGGAGAACCTCACTGTGCCTGAAAGGCGAAAGACACTTTGCAGAGAGTGAGGTAAAAACCATCTAGCTTGACATCTCCATTGTTAGCAAGTTGTGTTAAATGTAAAAAACAAAAACATGAAATGACCCCATTCTCCCCCCCTTTTTTTGTTGCAGACTTTGGACCAACTGCCATTAACAAACCCTGAGCACTTCGGCACGCCAGTCATAGGGAAGAAGACAAACCGAGGAAGGCGGTCTTCCCTACCTGTGTGAGTGCGCTGTGTCAGCGGTTAGGACTTCAGTCTGAAACAGAAACGCTCCTGCTTCTGCCAGAACACAAGGCTCAACTCCTGCCCCCGCCAGTGTATACTTTTCAAGGGGAGCAAGGATTTCTGCTTGTTCTTAGTGTACATTCTCCAGAGCTCTTAAGGTTTGAATGGCTCATAGAGTGTTAAATTTATTAAGGCTGTATTTTATGCTGTGACATGATGTGATACATCTGCCAAGGCTAGGACTCATTACATCTGTCCTCCCTTAATTCTATTCTAGTTCATTTTTTAAACTATGCTGCAGCTTTACCTGTGCCTGAGGTTTTGATTGTTAAAGAAACATCCTGGGGATTGATGGCTTTGGCTAGCTCTTCTTAAGTTATGCCAAGACAAGTCGCCACTCAAGAGTGTCTTTGTGTCCTTCTGTATGAAGATCAGCAGATTCTTGTCCTGATGACTTAAACAAAGGTTCCATTCTTTCGTCTCTCAGTGCTGAGGATGAGAAAGAGGAAGAATCCAGCGAAGAGGAAGATGATGACAAGAGGCGCCTTAATGATGAGCTGCTGGGGAAAATCTCCTGCGTCCAGAGCAGCTCCGATAAAACCGCCTCTTACATAGCTTTGGTGAGTGCTGTAAATTTAAATCGCTAACGTGTTAGTGTTAGCTGTTCGATTAAGTCTTTTAGAGCTGGCATGCATGTTTTGCCTGGCTTTATCAAGGGACATTTTTAACCTGCCTTTAAAAATTGCTGTCATTAATGTTATTACATTTATTGAAAAGACATTTGATATCTTTTTTTTTTGTTGTTGTTGCTCTGATGTTGGTCATGTGCCTCATGCTTATCAGTGTGTCAGTGTGCTACTGACAGATTTTTGTTTTACATTTTTACTCAGGTTATATCGCCTAGCTGCAGTGATGACTTGGCTATCAAAAAGGACCAATGCCTAGTGCGATCTTTTGCAGATTCCAAATTGTAAGTTTTGACCGTGTGTAGAACTGGAGTGTTTTTGCCACTCTTTATAAAAGAAACGCTAAACAAAAACTGAACCTGGTAATTTTACTGCATTTAGTATCTTCTGTATAAGTGAGTAGTGAAATCGAAATTGGAATGAGCTGTGATGTGATATCTGAAGTGTCATGTTTACGGTATTACCTAGTTCTGCAAATCAAGGGCTTACATGATGATATCTCCAGAGTGGTTTCGCTTGACTATGCTGAATTCTTTCTGATGTTATGTTTCTCTTGGCTATCTGATCAGTCCTCGTTTGCAGTTGGATTACACTTTGTTTCTAAAACTACAAAAAAAAAACTCCCAATAGCTTTTTCTGGAGGTGTGATGTATAAACAATACCAACTTTTGCTTTAGAAAAGCAACTAAGCTGGTATTAATTAAGAATAGCCGTTTCTGTAATTAAATTAAAAAGTTGACTCATTGTGTTGCTACCATAGATAAATCCTTTTTGAATGGTTTTACACCATAATCCTCAATGAAGTATTAACAATCTTTGCGAGACCGAGAATCTCTGTGAATGCATAATATTAATTCGTCTTCAGTCTGTACTATTGAAAAGCAAACAAGGTGAAGTAAGCTCTTCTGCAGTAAGTGGGATTGAATGGTTGTTATACTGGTGTCCTGAGTTCTTCAATTTTCTTTTCCAGTCTTTGTGTTCAACAGCATCACCAGCATAAATCTACTCTCCTGTTTCTTTTTCTTTCAGTTACACAGTGGCAAGAAAAGACGTCCATGAGCTGGATGCTAACAGCATATCCAAGCCAGAGTATTCCACTAAGAGAGGTAGAGTACAGCATTACTGGTGGCTTTGGTGTGGTTGTGTAACTTGAAGGACCAGTTCAGTGATGTTCTGCCTTCGTTCTAGGGCATGAAGAAGCACAGCTCTTCTTGAAGGCTCGAACTGTCCCTGAAAGCTGGAAGATGGATATGAGTGAGATCCTGGAGTCCTCAAGTAGCGATGAAGAAGATGGGGGACGAAGGGACAGTGAGGATGATGAAGAGAAGGAAGTAGAAGTGGAAGAGGTAGGATTTTAAAATGTGCTGAATGTCGTGAATCTCAAGACCCCCCTTTTTATATTGACTCATCTGTGCTTGCTGTATAGCGCGTTGAAGCTTGATGAGGTGTCGCAGTAACAACACGTTCTGCGAGTTTGGCTAACGAGGGATGCTGGTGAGGTGTCAAAAAGGGAAATCAAGAATTACTGGGTATTGGGGTACTTGTGAAAGCGGCCTAAATGTTTTTGCACTTCTTTATAGAAATAAAAATGAGTGGTATTGGTATCTAGCTGGCGTATTTGGATTCCTCTACTTTTTACTTTCTATTTGGTTTATTTCTAGTTGCTGAACGAGAGCCACAAATGATGAAAGGCTGCAAATGAACTTAGCTGTGTTACAAGGTTTTAGATAAGTGTTGGATAATTTTCAGTGGGTGAACTGTATCATGTATGAGTTTAGGTGTTTTTAGAAGTGGGTTTGCTAAAAAATGTTTTTGCATTGTCTTCTCAGAAATAGAAGTTTCTTTTTTCCTTTAACACAATGTTTGGGTCTGCTTTTCTAAAACGCAGAAATTGATGTCTTGGTCAAATACCCGTACTCTAGTTTCCCGAATTGCTGTAGTCTGTGAAAATGTTTGAGCTACAGAAAACAACAATAGAGCTTATTCTTCCTGTTCTCCGAGCCAGGCAGAATGGTTGTACACATGGCTTCCGACAGCGTTTCCATGGCAACACACTGCTGGCTTTCATTGAGAGCATGCTCTAAAGATAGGAGAGCTTAGCTGAAGCTTGGCTTCCTGCCTGTGGGTGTTTGCCAGCTGCCTTTAAACGAGGCAGTCAGACTTGCTTTCCTCACTTGATGTTTAATTTGCTGCAGACGTGCAGCTTCAGAAACGAGAAGTGTAGCCATGTAGCACTGTGTTTAAAATTGGGAGGCTCAATTTGGTTTTCCTGCTCACAGAAGTAAGTTTTGACCCCACATTACTGTGAAGGATTTGAAACCAAAACTGTCGTCTTTGTGTGTTAATTATTTACAACATAATTGGAACAGGTTTTCTTTCCATTGTTGGAAAGAGTTTTTTCTGTCTTTGGTGTTTGCATTGGTGTATGCTCAAAGTACTTGGCACGTATTTCAAAGAAATGTACTTCACTAGCAGAATTGCCATTGTAAAAAGGTA